CCATGAAAGCCTTCGACAATACATTATTATTATTATTATTATTATTATTATTATTATTATTATTATTACCCAGCCATTCCCACCCCGAAGAGAACTCAGGGCAACCTCACAACAGCAAAATTCAATTCTGTATGTATATCATTACGTCGCTGAACATTTTAATAGTTTGCATTTCGTTTCAAATAGCATTATCCCTTTTTTGGAGCCCGAAGCTACAAGAATGGAATCCATGAGAAGATCTTGTTCATCAGCAAAGCTCTGAACTGGAAAGACGAGGTCTTCCATAAAGGCCAGTGAAATGCGTTATCTGCCTGGATCAGCTTCTCTTTATCTGTCCTTAATGTGCTTAAGAGCACGTAGTTCTTCCAACTCCTCCGTCCTCAAAAACCACATTTCTTTTCCTAAGAAGCAGCTTTGCACAATGTTCGATGTTGTTGTGTCGGCAATGTTGTTGTGTTTTGAAATATTTTGATCCTTCCTTTCTGTCCCAAGATGCCAAATGAGTTTTACTTTTCCCCTATGACCCCTTTGGACGAGGAGGATTGAATGGAAAGTGGCCTCAATTGGACTATCCACATCCCTTTTGCTCCATTTGAGATTCAAAACAGCCCTACAGGAAGGAAGGGAACCCTTGTAAGGCAGGCCTCCCAGTCCCATCCCAGTGAGATGGTCCAGGAGGATACCATGATAAATGGTATCGAAAGATGCTGAGGGATTCAGGAGAACCAACAGGATCACATTTCTCCTGTCTAGCTCTCTTTGTAGGTCATCCATTATTATTATTATTATTATTATTATTATTATTATTATTATTATTATTATTATTTTATTTATACCCAGCTAGCATCTCCCGAAGGGCTCGATGCGGCTTACATAGGCCAAGGTCTCAAAACACAATACAACAATACAATACCTAAAGCAAATTAAAAACAGTTAAGCAGTATAAACAACAAACAATAAACAATATATCAAGACACTATAAAACTGGGCCGGGCCAGGGTAATGGGTACAAGATTAAAAGTGCTGATGTGGCAGGAGGTATGTAGGATTATAAACAGAGGCGGCCCTAGGTAATTTTCAATGGTAAGCAAACAGTATTTTGGCCCCCCCCCCCCAACCAATCACTGATATATATTTTCTGTTCGTCGTGGGAGTTCTGTGTGCCATATTTGGTTCAATTCCATCATTGGTGGAGTTCAGAATGCTCTTTGATTGTAGGTGAACTCTACATCCCAGTAACTACAACTCGCATATGTCAAGGTCTATTTTCCCCCAAGAGCGCCTCAAGAGCGCCCCTGGGCAAAATCAACTATACTGCAAATGCTTACTTTGTGTAATGGGTTGAGCCACCCCTGATTATAAAGTAAGTGCAGTGTGCGGTGTGCAATAATCTTAGTTCTACTAAAGTGCTTCTGGGACTTGGTATTGGAGATTCCTGATCTGGGAAGGCACATCGGAACAGCCAGGTCTTCAAGTTCTTTCTGAAGACTACCAATGTAGGGGCCTGTCTAAGATCTTTTGGGAGGGCATTCCAGAGTCGGGGGGCCGCCACAGAAAAGGCCCTGTCTCAAGTCCCCACCAAGCGCGCTTGCGACGCAGGCGGGATCACGAGCAGGGCCTCTCCAGATGACCGAAGTGAACGCGTGGGTTTGTAGATGGAGATGCAGTCACACAGGTAGGCTGGTCCCAAACCGTTCAGGGCTTTGTAGGTAAGCACCTGCACCTTAAATTGGGCTGGGAAAATAAACGGCAGCCAGTGGAGCTCCTTGAACAGGAGGGTTGACCTCTCTCTGTAATGAGCCCCAATTAAGATCCTGGCTGCTGCCCGTTGGACCAGTTGGAATTTCCGAGCCGTTTTCAAGGGCAGCCCCACGTAGAGCGCATTGCAGTAATCCAGTCTAGAGGTGACTAAGGCATGGACCACCCCGGCCAGATCAGCCTTCGCGAGGTACGGTCGCAGCTGGCGCACAAGTCTCAGTTGTGCAAAAGCCCTCCCGGACACCGCCGACACCTGAGCCTCAAGCGTGAGCGATGAATCCAAGAGGACTCCCAAACTGCGGACCTGTGGCTTCAGGGGGAGTGTAACCCCGTCCAACACAGGTTGCCACCCTATACCCCGATCCGGTTTGCGATCGACCAGGAGGACCTCTGTCTTGTCGGGATTGATCTTCAGCTTGTTCCTCCTCATCCAGATAGACACAGCGGCCAGGCACTCGTCC